GCTCAAATTGCACAGGTTGACCAGGCTTGAATGGGTCCTTCATATCTTGCTTAGCTTTCTTTGATTTCTTCTGCTTTCACCTGTTTTATCTAAGACATTGTTAAGAAAACAGCCTCTGGAGTGAACTGCTCTTGTCTCAGTGAGAAACCTTTATAACCTCAGTTGAGGCATCAAGTTCTCTTGCTGATTGGTTGGATGTGAACCAATAGCAAGTCACATCCTTTGTTACCCAGTCTGGAGAGGTTAGTCATCCTTTTATTACCTCATGGACTCATTGACTCTTCCCTTACTCTTGTGGTCTTAATAACTTAGGTCATATCTTAGATTATCTCCAGGTGAAATACCATTTTAATTTTCCACTTTGAAAATCCTTGGTACAATGAATTAAATGACCAGCTACAAGGAAGAGGACTCTATTGTAACTTCTCATCTTTTTTATGCTCCCTCTAAACAAGCCAGAATCCAGCCTCTTCTCTCCGCTTTTAATATATAATATGTTTCCTCCATTGACAACAAAAGTAGCTTTCATAGTTCATTAGTTAAGCATGCTCAAGCTTCTCAAAGTCATGTGTATAACAGCCAGTCTCTCTGATGGTAAATGAAAGAATGGTGTGATACAGGTCCACATTTCTTTCTTTGTTACTGTGGGGCATATCAGGAACAAATTCATAGGTAGTAACAGATTTAAACCAGGAAAAGTGACAGACGGATCTAGCTCAGTGCACACAGTGGACAGAGTTGCCCACCCCATTTCTCCTACTTCCCAAGTTATGGTTTCCTCCTCATATTTTTCTGCTGTGGTAGCCCTACAGCCGTTTTTGGACTGATTCTGAAAATAGTGTATTTCTTGAAACTGAATGAGAGTTACTTGTATCTTGCCTAAGGTCCCCCACTGAGTACTTTTGGGGCTGCTCTAGCATCACGTTGCAACCTGGACCCTGTAACTAGCTCTGTGTTCATGTAAAAAACCCTGCACTGTGGAAAACACATGTTGTAGAGAGGACTTCCTTTTTTCAGCCCTTGGGCACTCCCTTACAGACATTTTCCAATATTCCCTTAGTGATAGATTGGCAGGGTACTGTTTTATGCCATTGTATCCACTCACATCACCTGCTAGCACAGCACCAATTCTTTCTCTTTCCTTCTAACTCTGTTTTCCTAGTCTGTATTTTTTTACTTTGTTTCCTTAGCCTTTTGCTCTTTTCCTTTTCTATTTTTCCATTCAGACTCTCCTACCTTTTGATAAGTCCTCGGGGGCTCCAATATACGCTTATGCAAATTATGTTCAATGGAGCTGGACTCAAGGAGAGCGTGCTGGGGGCCAGCATCCTGCTGTTGGGGCCTGCAGCCCTGGATAGGAGAGCTTTACCTAATGTTAGCCATGGCAGGAAGTTATAAGAACCAACTAGGAACCCAGAATTGTCTCAGGGTGTGGACACAAGGACTTTTGAGACCCTTTCAAATGAGGAACATTTCAAAAGGGCAGAAGTTGTTATGTTTTAATTAGTATGTGTGAATGAGCTAAAAATGATTTAAATGTAGCAAAATTGCTCCAACTTTAATACTACTTCATCCAGATTTGAAGTTGGGGTGGTTTTCCTATATTTGAATTGTTTTCAGCTAATTCACAGAAAAAAAATTAGAGCTTATCATCCTGCTGCCCTTTTGAAAGCATCCCAAATGTACTTTTGTGTATCTCCAGGAGCCAATGTCTTGGCCCATAAAGCCCTTGCTCAGAATTTCTGGTACAACATTGGGTCTCAAACTTTTTTGAAATCATGCTGATCATGTTTAATGGAGACACTGCGTCATGGATTGTCTTGTCTCCACTGATCTCCCTTCATTACAAAAAAGACATCTCAAAAGGATTTTAGTTATGTGGTCTTGGTTGGGCATGTGCAGCAGAAGCCATTGTACTGTGCTCAGTGAGATTTTGTCCTTTTATTTGAGCAACATTCTTCTTCTTCCCTGCACTGGGAAGATTTTTGGCCTTTTTATATGCTGGAGAAAATCATTCTTCATCTCTGGTCAGTTATCGTTTTTTTCTGTTTTTGCCAAAATTGATTATGTTGTTAGATGAAAAACAAAGAAGTTTGCAAAATGCAAACCAGTTCTTCAGCATAGGACTGTGTAACTGATTCATTTAGCCTCATCCCTAAGAAAGGCAAAGGAATCCCAAATAAAAGAGGAAGCATACTCCATAACTATAATTTATTCAGATATTATCAGATTTTCTATTATTTAGTATATCAGTGCTTTCAACATTTAGAGACCTATGAATTACTGGGGGAATAACGTTTCTTGTGGAATAGCTAATTTTAATGGCCTTAGGAAAGTCTCTTAAGGTGCATCTACACAAGAAAATAAATGCACAGTTGACTAATTAACTTTAAAGGTGTGCATTGTTAGTACCTGTTATTAAAGGTACTAAACTTAATGCGTCATAATTATGGTGCATTAATGCACATGTAGACATGCCCCTGGGTGCTTAAAAGGACATCTGTAGCAGTCAATGCCCTTTTTGTTTTTCTGTCCTGGTAGCAAACAGCAGTGCTTTGGCTCAGATTCTTCATTAGTTTGTGACAGCACAGTCTAGATGGAGGATCCCAGAGGTTCCCATCCCATCTTAAGCATTTATGAAACTATGGAGTAGGAAGCAAACCTAAGAGAGAATTAATTTCATTCTCTATTCTTGTATTTTAGCAGCAAGAAACAGAGGGTGAAGCCAACACTCTGTTATCCTACAAGGGAAGGTTGCAAGTGGAGAAATCGTAGCTACAGCATCAAAAGTTGCCAGTTCTGGAGGGAAAATCTTCTCCAGTCCTGCTACCTCCTCTTTTTTGTGGAATCTCCAGCCCACCTATTAGAGAATTCTTGTTAAACACAAGTAAGTTCTCACTAAACCCACATGGTTACAAACCTTTGCTTTTTTTGTCTGTGGCATTCTGCACAGGATATGGAAAAATGAAAAATATGTTTATTGCAAATAGCAACTTTGATGCTACAAGGAGCTACTGGATGTCACAAACAAATTTATCTTATAGATGTGTCAACCACAAAAAGGGTGGATGTGCCAGGCTGCTTTATAGGTACAGGATGGAGAACTACTAGTGCAATGCAGAGGTAGGCCTACATCCTACAGATTGGATGCAACTGTGCCAGAATGGTTAATCCTTTCAGCACCATGGAGCAACACACAGGTCAAATGATTTGACCACACTTCAGTGGCCCATCCCAGAAGTATCATGAAGATACACCAGTATCTATAGCCCACAGAACACAAGGGAGTGATATAGTCAGCATCGTGCATGGCCACATTTTCTTCCACAGTCTACCTGACCAGACATCTGTTTCTAGCTGCGATGACAAGAGGTGGATTTAATTATGATTTGGGAGCAAGGCTCAAACTAATTTCTTTGGATCCATATAAAGACTCTTTAACCATTTTGGCAATACTCCCCTCTCCATGAGTCCAGAGGAAAACACTCATGATGCCTAAGCACATGTTTTGAAGTTCACAAGTGCATCTTTTCCCCATGGAAACTATCCACTGCAGTTGGGCTTCTGCCTCCCTCAGGTGGTTAGGGTCATGTTCCTCACAGGATTAAAAAAAAAAAAAAAGATTTGAGGAGCTCTCCCAAACCTTCCAGTTACATACATATGGGAAGTGTGAAATTAAAGCCAATAAAACAGTGGCACTTGAGGTGACAAAATGACTGGGTTCTACTTTTGGTTCTCCCACTACCTTACTGGATGACCTTGGCCTTGTCACTTCACTTCTCTTTGCCTCAATTTCCCTGTTATAAATGGAGATAATGATATCAACAACCTTTGCATGAGATCAGTGGATGAAAAGTAAACTCTGAGAAAGAATAATAATTATAATAATAATAAATGTATTAAAAAGTAGGATGCTTGGGGAAATGAACCTGAAAAAACTGGACTATCCCATAGTTCTGTGGCAATTAATTGCCAAGACGGGTGTTCTGTTTATTCTTATTTCTTATTAGTGAAGCAATAGCATTTAGAGGCTTCTGTCAGTGACTGAAGACCCACTTTGTGAGGTGCTGTGTAAACACTGATCAGAAGAAAGCCCCTGGGTCAGAGAATTATTAAGCCTGTGACACGCATAACTGAGTAACAAAACGGGTCAAATGGCAGGGCAGTGGCGTGGGAAGGTAAAGCAACAGGAAAACATGGGCATGTGCAAAAATCAGTAAAAGTTTAGTACGTTGTCTGTAACTGGTATGAAGCTCTGATTTACTCCCTATGAGATATGCATGAAGATATAACAACAGAAGAGTGTCCTAAAGTTCCTATAAAGGTAGCACTGGGTATCATCTCCCAGAAGCTTCTGAAGTCCTTTCTAATGTACAGATATTTTAGTACAGTGCTTGAGGTCTTTTTTTCTTTCTAAATTTCCAATCTTAAAAATAACTATTATCCTTAGGACTTCTCTGTTTGATAAAAAGTATTTTTATTTTCTTTTGAAAATCCTAGACAGTGGGTGTGTCTACACGTTGCCGTATGGTGACTCTGTTACTGCATTGTGTTTCAGTACTTGCTATGTGAGAGTACTAAAACATGGCACAGTAACCACCCATACTGCAGTGTATGGGCAGCTCACACTTATATTCACCAGCTATATCACCATAGCAGCATACAATAGCTGGGGAGCACACCGCTACAGCGACGTAGACACACATGATCACTACATCACCATAGCGTGCCATATGGCAATGTGGAAACACACTGACTGATTAACCAAATTAGGTCTTATATATGTTTTTGCATAATGAATAATCCAGTAAATTAAATTAAGTTACAATTGAATTAAAGAGAGGGGATACAGGATCAGAAACATTTAGTGGGCAGTAGATACAAGGAAGAAGATCCAAGATTCAGGCAGTGAAATTCCACTGCCTGAAAGAAATGACTTTTATAGGCATTAAAGAAAACAAATACAATGAAAACAAGGCATGGAATTTCAGTTGCTTTTATTAGACCACATTGGTGGGTTTGAAAAGAGCCTTACAATCAAGTCAATATTTCTTCTCCCAAATCTGGGTTGATGGCTGTCTCCCTATTCTTCTCTCACTTGACAATGACAGGGGCATGGGTAGTTCTTCCTCTGGGACATCTCCGGCTGCTTTTCTTCATGGAAAGCAGAGGTGCAGGCTTGTTTTGGGGTGGTACACTATCCTGAGAGATGCTGGCACCTCCCAGCAGATTCTTGAGATTCCCATTTCTTTGGATGGCCAGCTGCAAGTGCTGCTGGGAAATCCAGCGTTTCTTGTTGCATTTGGTAACTTCTCCAGCACTATCTATGATCTCATGAGTCAGATACTGGAGCACAGCAGCCATGTACACTGGGGCTTCTGCTCCAACTCGGTCAGCAAACTGCCCTTTGCGCAGCAACCTGTCTATGCGGCCAACGGGGAACACCAGCCCAGCCCGGGAAGAGCGGGAAACTTTGGCTTTCACCTCCTTGGCTTTGGAAGCATCACCAGAATACTGAGAGTTGGACTCCGTATTGGTTTCAGCCATGCTTAATATGTCAAACAACACTCAACGGCTTGGATGTCTTCGCTTTCCCTGGCTTTCTTTGTCTTTCAGTTTATCAGAGTCTCTCCTCACCCCACGTGGCTTGTCTTTCCTTCCTTGTGTTGCTTTCTTGATCTTTTCTTCACGTGGCTCAGCTTGCTTAGGTTGACCAGGCTTGGTTGGCTTGCTCACCTGGGTTTTTGAATTTTGTTGAGTCTTCTTTGATTTCTTCTGCTTTAATCTGGTTTGGCTAAGCCACGTCTTAGAAAGCATACTCAGGGGTAAACTGTTCTTGTCTTAGAGAGAGATCTTATATATACTCAGTTGAGGCAGGAAGCTCCCTTGCTGATTGGTTGGGTGTGAGCCAATGGGAAATCACATCCTTTGTTACCTACCCTGGGGAGGCTGGCCATCCTTTTATTACTGCATAAGTTCATTGACTCTCCCTTTACCTGGTGGTGTTTATAACTGAGGTCTTGTCTTAGAAAAAAACTGTGGTTGAAAAATTAGGTTAGTTTCCCATTTTGTAATCTTTGGAATAGCTAATCAGATCACCAGATAAAAGAGAAATGACTTTAGTCTTATTGCTAATATTTCAAATTCCCTCTAAACAACCTGGAATCCATCCCCTTCTTTCTGCTTTTATTATAGTAACTAGGAAAATGCCCAGCATGCAGCCCAAGGTGTGGTGCAGCATGGGGAGTGGCCACAGTGTGGGGAGTGCTTGATGGCTGTGTGGCCCAGGGAGCTGCCCTGGGGTGTGGTTCAGTGCATGCATTGGGGGTGCGGCATGCAGCCATGGGAAGGAGCATGGTGTGGGGAGCAGCCATGGCATGGGGAGTGCCTGCCAGCTGTGGGTGCGTGGCATGGGGATCGGCCCCAACACTGCATGGGGGGGTGGTGAGTTGCTGTTCAGGGGGATGCGCACAGCAATGGCGCATGGTGTGGGGAGCAGCCATGGCAGGGGGAGCACCTGCTGGCTGGAGCCGCGTGGTGTGGGGAACAGCCCCGGGGTGTGGCGCAGGGCATGCAGGGGTGTTTGGCAAATGGCTGTGCGGGGATGGGATGTGCCATGACAGCAGGGCATGGCACCAGGAGTGGCCATGGCATGGGGAGCAGCCCTGGAGTGTGGCACAGAGTGCACAGAAGTGGGGGTGGCACATGGGGGGGTGCGCGGCCATGGGGTGCTGGATGGGGAGCGGCTATGGCAGGGGGAG